ATTTGCAATCGTTATGTTTATGTGTATTAAGTTAATCTGGACATGGAGGACTTGGATAGCACGCGAACGCATCCAAGATGTCATTCACAGCCCAATATACACTTCTTTTTTTTTTTATCGATTTCATGGATTTTAAACAAACTTGAGTTGCGCAGGCAATGGAAAATACTTTCCAAATTTGTGTAGCCTTTATAAGTAGTATCTGAGGATCGACGCGTCGTTCATACATAATTGATGGACATGGCTATGTCGGCTCAGTAGAAAGAATACTTATAAATATGCTCCGCTTATGGGGCCGGAAATGTTTCCTTTATCCTGTTACATGCATTTTTACAGAAGCATTATACCCTTTTTATACATTCTGAATGGGTAAGGGTATAAAAAAGAAACGAATGCGCTGCACAAACACTGATTCGGATAAGGATACGGCTACAGTTGCCGAATACGAAATGCACCCGCACACTTACACCCGCACACACACACACACCCGGACACACACACTCGCAAATGCACTGCTGATGGCCGCCATTACTGTTAAATGATTTCTGCAGCTGCTGCAGCAGCCATCGTCTTTGTCGTCGTGGCAGAGTGAAAAAAGCTGCATTTCCGAGTATATGTATAAGTATATGCATGCAACAAGACAAGAATATATAAAAAGCTATAAAAGTAGGAAAAACTGCGAAAATGACAGCCTTACCGCTAACGCTGTCCGCCGCTTGATGCGTGGAAAGAATTTCATGACCTGAGAATTTACAGCAAGGTATAAAAAAGTCGCCGCCATCAGGCATAATTATAATCAGCCCGGGTACAAACACAAAAGCCACAAAAACAAGTTAAAGTGCTCTAGTCGGGAGTGTCCGACTGAAAGATACCCTGTACCCAGCAGCAAGCAATTGAACTCCCTTTTAGGCATCCACATAAACGCACACTACCAAATACACACATACCTGTTAGTATTCGTTTTTACGAATATTGTTGTTATCAAGCTATTGAAGTTAAGTTAAGCCAAACATAACAACATTTCTACCCATTTAAATGGCCACAGAGTATAAAATCAAAAGAGAAAAAAACAAAGATAAACATAAAATGTTGCAACAAAAGATTAAAAGGATGATAAAAGCCGAATGACCTGCACACCAAGCGATTATGCATTTGTATTGCGTTGTTGTAAGTCCTCAGCATAAGGTGTGGCAGCCAAATGCCACCCGACTCCACCTCAACGCTATGATGATGACAATGTTGATGGTCCGGTTGCGTGTTGTTGAATGGCGCACATTTGCCGACTACCATTTAAGGGAAAAACTCAAACAAAATTCAAATTAATGCTGTCGTATTTTAGCTATTAGAAGAAATCATTTTGAGTGTTCTAATTGTGACAACTCTGTAAACAAAATATTTATAATAAATAGGAAGGATTTTTTACCTAATATTCAATTTCAGGGTTTCTTCTATGTTAGGTTTAAATATTTGATATTATATATGTAGGATTCGGGATTGTTTCAGAAGAGCCAGTAGCCGAGCGTAGTGGTCGTCTTTATCAAACAACGTCTACAATAGAGCGCCAAACGGACAAAAAGAGCAAACGGTCCGAGCCTCTGCTCTCAGGGAAAAACAATCAAAAAGTCAGTCGATGCCGAATATTAGGTACAATTGGCTTAAGGAAATTCCACCCGCATGTATGGAAAAATCGCGAAAAACGTTTGTATGCAACTTTTTTGTTAACCATCCATTTTACATTTGTTTAGATTCACTTGAAGTGAATCAGAGATTTGGTTGGTGACGTTTTGCGCTCAAATTAATTTCCAAGGATCTATATGAAAAATCATTTGCATTTTCAAACGAATGGAAAATAAGTACAGCAGGAAGAAATAGAATAGAATTTCTTTAGGGTGTCTCTTTCATTTTATAAGTATAAATAAATATATACGGAAAAAAAGTTTATAAATCATTGGATTAAAATGAGAGAGGGGAACAAGCATTTATTGGCATTAACCCAAGTTTGTCGACTTCGTCGCCGTTGAAGCCGCTGCTCGTTAATCTTAGTTAGCCATTGCCTGGCTACACAAAGAAATCCTCGAAGTGGCGCCCAAGTGCCACCCATACTAACTGCTATCGCCCGACCGTTGCTCCAACATCACTTGAGATTTTTGCAACTTTAACAATTTTAATTCGTTTTAATTTATAGCGAAGCTCGTTGTCCCTTTTAGTTAGCTGTAAGATCCGTTTGTCATATATATACTAGCGGACATAGCACGGACTCTCTGGGCACAGTTTTTCCTTCAAAATTGAACATTGTATTTACAGTTTTATTGAGAGGGAATAATTTAATTTTTCCCTTCTTCTCATAAATCCAATTTCCATTCTTCGTAGCTAATTTCCCGTAGACAGTGAGTCACGTTTAAAATCCATTCATATAGATGTTTGAGAATGAGTTTGAAGTCCGTCGGAACAAAAAGTTGCAATCACAAACAAAAATTCAGTATTTTCAATTAGATTGAAATTCAATGAGAATACATAACAGCGAAAACTTTCCTCCTATTAGATGGACAACTCTCTTGGGCGGACATTTCCCCCCTTTATAAAGCGAACGCTTTCCTTGAGAATATGCGCAGTGGTTAGGTTTAATTGATTGTCAACACCACCTATAATCATAGCAAGTCTTATTTCAATTCATGAGAATAGAATAGTAGGGCGTTTTGTCAAGTAACTTTCGTTTGTAAATAAGCAGCGCAACGGAAAGAAAACTTCTACTCCGTTTGGTTTAAAAGAGCATTAATGCAAAAACAGTCGTGTGTTGATCTCCAATCAGTCAAGGAGGTAGCTCCACATGTATGTTAGTTGGTAATCTACCTTACCCAGTTCAAATATTTTGCTTTAAGTCTTAGACATTCGTTTTTTATCCATTTTAAAGTAGAGTTTCCCACCCAAAGTATACTTTTTGCCTTCCTAGCTCTTAGAAATAATATTTATTAAATTAAATTTGTAAAACTTTAAAAAAGCAGTATTTTAATTTAAAAAGATTTTGATCATAATTTTATATTTGTAAAGAACCCACGTTTAGTTGTAATGCCGAAGCAAAATGTCACGACGAGACCAAATTGTTTTATAGTATTATTGATATCACAAATATACAAATATTCACATATTCGCATGAGTCTTATTCATTTGCTCCCCTTTGAATTCATCTACACTGTTGAGTATTGCATTGAGAATTGATTTTGTTATTTATGCATTTCATTTAATGGATTTCTTTGAATTTCCATGTAGCTAGATGCATTTACACCAATCGCCGCCCTATCTCCTCACCTCTCGAAAACCCAAATGTTCGTTTTGGTTTCCTTTCCGGTTTCGGTTTCGGTATAAGATTTATGTGCAGTCAACTCAAAGCAACCCCAATAGATACAATGAACAAGCTGACGGCCAGTCAGAATTTGTATCTGTATCTATAGTTTTTTCCTGTGTGTGCTAGAGTGGGTGTGCTGGGTCTGTGGGTGTGTGGCGACATATTTGTAAGCGTCAGCATATTTAATTTAATCGCTATTTCGCTAGAGAGTTGGAAAGTTGTCGCCCATCTTTACAGCAGTGTTTCTTTTTTTGCCTGGCCCGGGGCGTAATGTGGTTAGAAGATGAATTAGATTCAGTTATATTTCTAGTTCTAGTTCCAGTTCCAATTCCAGTCACAGGCGTTGCCCTATTAGGTTGATCAGCATTGTTATTGTTTGTTTTATCATTGAATTGCCTTTGGCACAAATATTATGATTGCTGGAACGAATTCGGGCCCATTAGCTGGGGCCACGGGTCAGCTAAAACATTTGGCGTGTCCTACATTGTTTACGGTCTGGTTGAATCATTTAGTTATTGTAATGGATGTGGACTCAATTTCAACTCTGTGATGTTTGTGCTCTTGACAGGCAGTTGCAAGTGGCAGTGGTAACAGCGTTTCGCAAGTGATTGAATAGCTCCACTGCTCCAGACCTTTGAAATTGGCTACATGCCACATTGGTCACATTCTACTCACCACTTACTGCCTAGTGTTGAGCCTGTTGGCTTTTTTTTTAGCTTTTAGAAACATCAATTGATTAGTTTCTCACTCGCATTTGATTGATGACACCTTCCGCCGAACACGTGGCAAGCACAAGCAATTATTTCAACTCTCCCTCTTTCGCATTGATGTGAAGCTGCTGATTGGTACATGCACTCAAGTCCAAGTACTAACATAACTTACACGCACTGGAAAGTATATTCAGCCATCAGTTAAAACCAGCAAGCACTTTAATTAAGTTTACAGAGCACAATCTCAAGCTATCTATCTCTCAAGCATTCAATCCTAATTACATGAAAACATGCTGTCAACCAGCTGTGACTTTTTTTTGAATAAACATGCATCTCCCATTGAGCACCATCCGATGGCTTTCTTATAACAGCTATTATATAACAGGATAAAAAAAACTCTCTTCTTCTGCGTAATTTATAAGAGCTGTTAACACGACATGACTAGCATTTTTATTCTTATTTTGGCTTAGTTTTACATTTAAGTTTCAGATTAAGTATAACATTAGAGTTTCTTGCATTAAAAAAAATCTAACAAAATATCTTACTCAAACACACTGTTTGTAGTTTTCAAAGAATCTATCTCATTTTTTTTGCCATTTATTTAATGCCAAAATTTGCTCTCATTTCAACACTCTTGCCAATTGCTTGTAAGTGATCTTATCTTATTTTTGCAAAGTGTAAAACTCTCAAAGTACTCATGCACCCAGCCCAACGATCACGGCCAAGGTGCAATAATCGACACATGTGCCGTCAGCGCATTTTAAAGAACCACAGTGAAACAGCTGCAATGTGGGACTCAACCAGGTCACCCGACACGACCCAATTGGACGGGACAGCGGCTACAAACCTACTGCGACAAGACGCCAGCAGCAGCAGCAGCAGCAGCTCGAGGCTAATTAATATTAAATCAAATAATTGTCAAATCTGTTCTTAAGCAGCACTCAAAATAAACAGTTGTGATATTTTATTGCGCACACTATTCAATACTCTTTAAACAATTTTCGATGCTATTAGCAAAGCCCCTTCGTAGTCAGACAGCAACTCAAGGAAGATTGCAAAGCCCAGTTTCGTTTTAAATGATGCTATGATTCAAAATTCGATAACTATATTTGCAGCTGTAGTATCATGAACCACATTATTTAATTCTTCTTATTGGTGAAAGTGAAAGTTTTTTTTTGTTAAGCATTTTCATGATTTTGGGTTTTCTCTTGTTAAAGATTGCACATACGCCACGTGGCACACGTCAGGCGCTTTTCACAACACAATCCCCTGCAAAGCTGGCCATTAAATGTGGCGGTGAATGGTATCAGCAAACTGTTTCTGCCAGCAGCCTTGGCCATTTATTTGCTTATTTATTGTTGTTACCAATTTGGCATAGCTTAGAGCCAAACCGCAGTGTGCAGGACTTATCAGGGATAAACATCGGCGTCTGCAGAATTGTCCTGTCTGCCAGTTGCAGCTTTTGTAATTACTTGTAGCAAACATATTCGCATCTCTATCGTCGCTCCCATCCAGGATCAGTTTGAATACATGTGTACGAGTGTTGAGTGCTTGCAGAGTTTTTTGATCATATCTGAAAAACCAAAATACGTTTTTGGGATTCGATTCAGGGTTCAAGCCAATGCCACGCCCAACGGTTCGGTATAGCAATTATCTCCAAAATAAAAGTCATTTCGGATTCACATTCTTATTTCCTTTCTTGTTGATCAGGATATGTTATAGTAAGGTAATTTTGTAGCTTAAACGATACTTTGATGGAGCAGGGATTATCTTTAGCAGATACAAAGAAGTTGAATACTCTTGAATAGAGCATTTTATTTTATTGTTTAAAGCTTAGTGTACATGTTTAATTATCAGTGACCTTTCTATTCTTTTAAGAATCTGCCAAATTTTCCCAACACTGCAATCATATAAGTATCACGTAAATTGTTGACCCACTCGGTCAAACATCAATAATTACGATCTCTACGACATTCAGGAACTTAGAGCTTCCATAGAAGCTTATTGGCTGTAAATATGGGTTTTTGGAAAAAAACATTACGTTTTTCACCACATGGCACACCTACTACATGTTTGGTTCCCGGTTGTTGATATTTTTGTTTGGATTTTGTAGCCCTTGTTTTTAGTAGACGAAACTTTTATTGTTTTTCTGTGTTCACATTTTATGGCATTGGGACACTCATGAACAACCGAAGAGATTAGCTTCACTCGGGGCCATTTACATTTGATTTGCGCTAAAATCGAAAGCCCTTTGCTTGTAGATTTGTCGTTTTGCGTATTGGGAGGCAGCTGTTAATCCGGCAGTGAAATTATATTCAATTGAAGAAGTCATTGGCTTTGGCGTTCATCGATTGGTTTGGTGATTGGGTTTGGGCTTGAGTATGAGTTTGCTTTGGCGTTGGCGTTCCGATTAGGATTACTCATTTACGGCTGTGGCAACATCAAACGGATTTTCGCACTATCATCGGCAGTGTCACCAGCATCCACATCTATATCTACGATGAGCAGCTCATTTATTCTCACCCGGACGCCAGTCTGGGCTGCTCCAGTATGCCCTTGAATTGATAAGGAGGTTGAGTACATGTGAAGTGCCAACTTTCTGTGTAGATGCCACTAGACAGAGACACATGTGTCCGCCCTCTCGCATTATGTTACAATTTTGGCCATTTTGCTGACTACTGCTGGTTCAGTGCTTGCTTCATCAATGGATATGTCAGAGTTGTTCCTATTATTTGGTTATTCAAATAAATTTCCTGCTGCGCCATTCGAATACACTCGACTCACACTCAATACACCCATGCACTACTCTTATGTCTGATGAGAATGTGTGCACATAAAAGATAATGAAAGTGTTGGCCTGCCTCATGGGACCTTTACTGGATCGCTGCGCACTCTTGCAAGTATGCAATGAAATTCTGTTGCGTGGACAGGTAGATAGCGCTCGTTTGTATGTAGGTTTATGCGCGTGTGTGTGTGTGCGGCAAGAGCACTCTAATACATGAAGTGGCTTTCACTTCCAACTGGAAGCTAATCTGCCTACATTGACTCACAATCAAGCTGCAGTAAATTAATTCACTTCACCGAAAGTGTGTAAACATATTCTACATTTGATGCCTTTCTCGTGAGGACCTTCTTTGACTGTTCTTTATATTTTAGTTTCTTTCAGCAAAATCTATCCCAACAATTATGAATACTAAACCTATTCTTTGATATTTCTATTCGCAATCTCATTTTAAGCAAATATCGTCTACCTTAAATTGAAAACTTGTTCGTATATGCATATATACTTGTATAACTTAGCTGTAATTAAACATAAGTGTAAAACCTTCTCATTCTAACTGCATTTAGCTTGATCATTGATAATAAGTACATTAAAAACTTTTAAAATACTAAATTTAAGCTGTCCGTATAAGACAAAAAAAAGAAGAAGCTAAATATAAACAACTAACCCTTCTAACCTTATTTTAAAATCAATTGCGCCAGACTGGAGAAGTCTTGTTACTTGAAAGAAACTGACTTAAATGGGGTAACTTAGATCTTTCAGTTGGAGTCCAAGTATATTGCCTGGTTGGGGAAGGTGATGGTATCCGAGTCCGCCTTGTCGGGCTTGTAGTTACCGTTTGTGTGCACTGACTGTTAAAGGAAGTGCTCTGTAGAGAGGACGAGTCGGTAGATGCCTCCTTATAGGTTTTTTTTGGTGTTCTCCCAAATGAATTCGATTTTTTTAGGTTTAACTTTGACGAAGTCGACTTATTAAACATATCATTGAATAGGCTATCATATTGCTCGAGATTCTGCTGTAAGTTTCTGGTTGCAAGTAAATTGTCCATGCTCTCTTCATAGTGTTTCTGATTAAGTTCCTGTTCAAGTAGTATATCGACCCGAACCTTCTGTAAATTTCCAACTGCTTCATCAATGGACCTTAACCGTAGCTGGGAAACTACTTACATTGTGGTAGCGCTTCATCATTTGCATGACAAACATGATTAAGAACGTCAAGATAGTGAGTGAAAACCACAAAAACTGATGATTGTCCAGTCCCACAGCACGACACCCACCAATTGCCTTTATAAGAAACCAGCACCAAGTCGGCCAGCCCTGACAAGTGGGCGACATCTTAATGGCTGTCTCGGTGCTTATAACTTCCTTGTATGTCCACATTGCGGAAAATTTCAAACAGTTACAAATTTTAAAAAGCTATGATATTGTATTCTGATGAATAAGCAGAAATTTAAAAATGGAAGTGTTTTCCTATTTCTGAAACAACTTATTTATGAGAAAAACTATATAGAATTATATGATATGTAAGAAAATAGATATTCCACTTAATGTCAAGGCCTACTGACAACTCTAAGTGTACGTAATGTTTACAAAGCTGCGTCTTGTTTATTTGTATTATCAATGCTGGTTTCGACATAGATTTGCTTACTTAGTTGTTTTAAAATGTTTGTTATATAATGCTTGTTTAGTTGAATAATGGATGAATTTAATGAAATGGGAATTATTTCTTAGCCTTAAGCTGACACAAAGTTTACATCATGAATCGTTTTTTTTTAATTAATCGAGCTTTTGCATGTTCTTTATAAAACTGTTAAAAAGCAGATTGGTAATCTCAATCCTGCCACCCTCTTACTCTGTCTTTCCAGTTCCTTCAGATAAAAGCATAGAATAAAATATTTTCTGGCTTCTTTGCTCACAGTGCGTCATTTATTGCACAAGTATTATCAGGCTGGCTTTCCAAACCAAACCTTCACTTCAATCCACTGCTGCTGCATTCGCCCTCTCACTCTCACACTTTATGTGCGTCTCTCTGTCGTAGATTTGATGTATTTCGTACTCTTTGCCAGTTGCTCAGTTGCAATTCCATTTGGCGACTTTGGACTGCTTGGATAGCTTTTGCGAGGTAAGAGAAGGCGCGAATATTTTGCTAAATAAATTGAATGCTGCGTGGAAAATTTGTTTTTGCCGCTTGCCACAAGGGAGTGGGAGGGGCAAGGGAGTTATTCTGAGGGGCTGATGAAAGTAGCGCGAAAGCCATGAGAAAAATGGCAAAAACTTTCATTTGAGCAAACAAAGCTGCAATTCTAATAAAGTCATGCTGTGTGACATGCAAAAGGCGAAACTATGTTGTTGTCAAGCTAACTGTGAATATGCATATGCCCGATGATATCTAGGTGTGTGTATGTGTGTGTGAGTGTGCGTGCGCGTATGTGTTCCACACATTGTGTCCATATTTGGAACAGCTCTTATTCAGCAGCTGGACGCAGCTTTTTTATTGTACTGTGCCGTCCGTACGTGCGCTCATATTTCACAGCTGCCACAGATTCGCCATTTCATTCTCATAACAAGACAATGAAAGAGGCATCATAACTGTGACTCCGAGTGGCAGCCACTATGAGCCAATTCCTGCCACAATTTTCTATTAGGCCCTCCTCCATTGTGGCCACAAACAAGTTTCCGTCATTGTGTGCGGCGCATAAATACTATTGGTATGCCACATGAATTTTGTAGGTGCTGGTTGCCAAAATTGAACCAACTGCCACGCCTACCAAGGCATATTCAAGCCACAAATGCGATGTCATTTGCATCTGACAAATGGCATATTGCGGTTGCACCTACAACTTCCCAATGATCAGCACAAAGGCTGCCACATGAACACACAGCGAAAAAGTATAAGTCGCTTAGGCGCAAGCCACACGGTCGATAATTTTGGCCAGATTGAAAGTATGTAAAGGTATTTCAAATAATTTGCTACGCCTCCATGTTATTTGATTGGATAGGACTTGAGTAAAGACGAGGCGGCGCTCATCAGTAGATGCTCGAAGGCTGTACAGGAAATATGTTTTCTCGCCTGTCAACGGCTCCATAGTACCTATTTGGTGGTTAAACGTATTGCTGATAATCATTAAATAAATGTCGTGCACGGGAAACGAATACGCTGGAATTGTTGTTCTACAAATAATTAAAATACCAAGAAATTCACTGACCTGAACCCACGACGTAGTAAATCAATTGAAATTGAAACCCATAGGACGCAGCGTATACACTGCATAATTCAAAATCTATTGGTTCCCATATTCCACTTGGAATACTGAAAACTCATGTGCGTTTCCACGCCTACCTTCAAGTATTGCGAATAAACAATACAGTTCTCTACATTCGTGTACTCCAAATCAAACTAAACTATAGAATTTGCATTTACGGTCCACTTTGCTTGATCGCATATACAATTTTGAATTCAAGCAACGCAAATTGGGTTAATTCAACAAATGCAATTTGCTGGGGCCTAGTAAAACATTGACTATGCAATGCAAATCATTTTGGTTCAGACAATTATCTATATTGAATGTTAAGCGGAAAATGGGCACCTATTAAGTATAATTGTTAACAGGGGCGTGATTGATCAATATGCAATATAGACTACTAATGTAAAAGTCCCAAAAAGTCACAAAAAAAGTGTGCTCAATTGTGGACGCGCTTGCTCATTTCAATCGAAACGACGCTAATTAAAGGCTACGGGGTGCGCGGCGTATGTGTGATATTCTGGCATACCCTTTTGCTCAATTCATATAACCGCTGACATTTTTAATTTGGTCATTTATTTTCTGGCTTAAATGAAACTGGTCACGTGCATATAAATAGACATATAAGCATGCACATGTATAGCTAACATATGCATGCTTATACAGGCAATATGGTGTACTTGCTCGTGAATTTACTGTACTGTTGCCCCCGTCTCATTAATCATTGAGTTTGCCGTAATTCAGCATTGGACATCATCAATAACAGCTGTAAAAACAATTAGGCCATGGGCAATGCTCGACGAAATGCAATTAAATACCAAATACTGAATCATGAAATTCAGAGAGTTTTATAACTAAAATCGATTCGTAAAAATCCACCCCACATAGCGAGAACATTTCTGGGAAAACACTTGCTTTATATGTTTAAATTAATTAAAAATTTAATCAAATTTAAATATTTGAATTTTTTTTTTTTTTGCAGCTGCCTACTTTGACACTAAACTGAGCGCAGCTTGTGCGATTAAGGTAAGATCAACAGAAAAAAACGTGTTTTGTATGAATTGTTTAGATGCCTCTTTAAATGTGTTGGACATAGGCTTGAATCCAAGATAGTAAAAATTTAACGATCCATTGTTATTGGAATACCAACAATTGCAGACGAGTTTAGATCTCACGTATATTAAATATACTAGATAGCAGGACAGAAGTCGAGACATTCTTTGTCAAAAGTCACTTTAAGAGTCAAGGTGAATTCAAATATTCCATATTGGTAGATAAGTCAGTAGTTTATTCAATATCGTGGCACTTTTACTCACTGAAAGCTTTAGACAATATACGAACGAATATACGGAATCAGATTGAAGCCCGTGTTCTCTTGTCACTATTTTGATTTCAAGTGAACGCTTAACGAACGTGCTCGCTTCAGAGGTAGATTTGTTTTTTACGATACGTATTCCTTAACAATAACCGATTAAACTAAAGCTTTAGTCGGTGGGCCAGATTGTTAGCTTAATTCGACGGTCTTTCAGGATATCTGCCATGTCGAAAGACCTATTTAGTATCTGAATAAGCCTTAATTAACTAGACAATCGAAAGTATAATTGTTAATAGTTAAAGCCTTGATATGCATGATGACAGCAGTAAGTAAATCGATTTGTTACCTTAATTTGAGTTGCCTCGACTACATGTTGTCTCTTACGACTGATGAAAGCTATTAAACAAGAGGTTAGAGATCATAAATTATATCATGCTAGCAACGTGCGTCAAATATTTTAAACTCGCTTCTCCTTTATTACTTTCACACGACTCAAAGTAATTTTCAAAAATTGTACAGCAAAAGGCTGGGAATAATCGAACCGCACCAACAACAATCAGTTCTGGGCTTACAGCTCTGGTTTCCACCTACTATGGATAGACTTATAGGTAATTCGATTGGCTTGAGTTGATCATTACATTTGATCATTTCGATCATGCTTAAGTAGATGGCTTTTGAGTTTTTTCTTAAAAAACAGATTCTCTGTTGACCTACATACTACAAGCTCCAATCCCATGCAACGTGCAAAGATTAGACGAACTTCACCGCTGGTGATGCACTGCAATTCATTAATTGAAGCGCTTCTGAGCGCTGACTGTTGGCGCTCAGTGTGTGCACGCGGTTAGATTGAGAGGTTGTCAGGCCACAGTCAATGCGACTGCCTTAACGCAAAGTGCCAATCAAAGAACGCTGCATCGCATACAGAGTCGCCTGTACAGGCATGGATGTACGTACTACCCAGGGTCGTGCGTGGGAAGGAGAGGAAGAGTAGAAGGGGCGGCGTTATCTGTCACTCCAACTCAATCCAGCTCAATCACCTGGGGCCCTCCGACTCGGCATATTGCAATTTTCACTGCCACTTCAGCTCATTTAACGCGAACGACGTCGACGCTGCCTTCTCTGATTGACAGAGCATTGAGGACAAAGCCAGCCAGTGACAGTGTTTGCAAGAAAAGGGGAGGTAGGACGTGGCAGGCGAGTGGGCGAAGCTGTGGCAGGGTTGTACACAAAGCCTGTGGTATTTCCTTCACAGCAACCCACAAGCCCTGCTGAAAAGCGTAAAACAAAACTTTCAACATGAAATGACATGCCGATTAAATTAATGCATTGCCTACCGCTATAACGCAGGGTCATGGCGGGTGGTACAGGGGGCTAATAAAGCGCTGATGCCGCTGCCGTTACCAGCATTGGCATCATAAAAACTTTAAGATCGAATCGCTTGAGCCCCACGCTCGTAAGTATCGCAAAATCGGTTGGGCCGACATCGACACCTGCGACCGAAGGCAGCAAACAAATTGGCCCCCGCACGCGGCTAGACCAACAAAGGCATCAACTGTCAGCACCATGTGCACGTAATCATAATAAATGACATTGGATCCCGTAAGCGGACACTTTTATTTAATTATGCAACCATGGCATTGACCCCACACAACGCACACACCAAACAGCCAACCGCTTGAAGCCCGGCCAACTCCAACTCCAAAATCAAACTCAAATTCATGTTGGGGTCAAGGCCAAATGTGTTAACCAGTGCCCCAAGCACTTAATTTAATCAGCGCCGAAAGCCGTTCATACAATAGCCCCATTGCAAGTAACAAATTGCGATTATAAAAGAAAAATTGACGCACAAGCCGTTATTATCAGTTAAAGCATTATTGTGAAAATTCGACTTGATTAAATTTCTAGGAACAGTCAGTGCAACTGACAACCGGAGTGTCTATTCTTAATCGTAAGTC